TATGGAAGTTGATGTTGGGATCGTATACATCCTCCCGCCTGTCAGGCTGAGTACCAATGTGCAATCGTCGTCGTCGTCGTCGTTGTTGTCGTCATTCGTCATTAATGTTCGTCGTCGTCGTCGTCGTCGTCGTCGTCGTCGTCGTCGTCGTCGTCGTCCGGCGCCGCCACCGTGTTTCCATTTGGCGGGCGCGCAACCTCGCGATTCGCCAGAGCCGAGGAACCATTTGCGCGCTCCGCTTGTTTATTGCTCATCACAAGCTGACGTTGCATGCAGCTGGTTTCGGCCCGCCGCGGGGCCCACTCCTCGATGCGTGGGCGCCTCCCAGCGCCACGAAGCGTCAGGAAAACCAGCTACGTGAGCTGATCCTCTACCCTACCCATTTCGGCAGCGAGCCCGGGGGGAAGTGAGAAGGGCGGCCCTTCCCAGAAGGCTAGGAAATGCCCTGCCTTCCGATGACAAGTTTTCTACGCTTTCCCCGAAGACACCGAAACTTCTCAGCAGAAGGCGCGAGGGCTTCTGAACAGTCCCGCCGCCTCGTGAGAAGGCCCGCCCCTTCTCACTTCCCCCCGGGCTCGCTGCTGGTGCCATTCCTAGGGGAACGAGCACTGACATAAACATACAAGCTCGGAGGTCCGCGCGGACTTCTTGGATCCGCGCTGGACCCCCCTCTCTGGCGCGCGGAGCGCGCCAGGGGCGGCGCCAGAGGCGCCGCCAGGGGGCCTTAGCGGAGATCCGAGAAATTTGTTTTTGCCATTCTTCTTCTTCTTCTTCTTCGGAGGAGGAGGGGGAGGAGTAGGGGGAGGAGGAGGGGGAGGAGGAGAAGAAGGAGGAGGAAAAGGAGGAGGAGGAGGTAGAGGTGGAGGAGGAGGAGGAGGAGAAGAAGGAGGAGGAGTCCCCGTAGTTTCGCCCCCAAGATCCTCCCAGGCAAACGGGGCACCCTCCCCAGGTGATCCTTCTGCCGGGGCCCAGCGCCTGCCCGCGGCCACGCAGGGCAGGGCCAGGCCGCTGCTCCGGCCAGGGCCGGCCCTCGGCGCGGCGCGGCCGCGCCGTGGGCGCGCAGGAACGTCAGCCGGAGCTGTGCCGAAGATCCGCGGGTCACGCCGTACGCGCCCCTGGTGCTGGGACCCGAGGGGGCGGGGAGCTCGTGTCCAGGCCTCCCAGGTGGGGTCCGAGCAGGCGGGGTCGGAGGGTCGCGCCGCAGGGGCGACGCATCGGTGAGGCGGCTCGATGTGGAGCCCGATGGTCTCCACGCTGGCGCCGCCGATGCATCGCCGACGTCGCCGATGCGGTGCGATCATACTCCGACCCCATCTACTCCGACCCCATCCAGGAAGCCTCTTTCGTGTCTCCGAGTATCGTTTAACCGATCCCCATGTCCATCCCCCTCCCCATCCCGGTCGCCCCTCGAAACCCGAAGGGCACAGCCTATGTCCCCATGCAAGCAAGCAAGCAAGTCCGGCCTGGCGACTCAGAGAGCCGCTCGCCCCATTAAAGGGAACGAAGTGAGGACAGTGTGAAACAGCGACTATACCTGTGCACAAAGCATGAACAACACCCCTCGCATCAGACAGAATGCTCGGCATCAGCCCGGTGGCGCCTTCGACGGGCCAGCCTGGCGAGTCGAGTCGAAGGCCGTGCCCTGTCGTGCACCAGACACTCCCGCGGGAACTCTTGTTAGCTGGCGGAGGGGGGCATCAAGACGAGGGGTGGAGGGGTAAATCGGGCTGTGGGACACAGGCCACGCCAGTGGGGGCAGGGATCGGTTACGCGAGCGAAGAAAGCACGTACGTGTACATGAGTCCGCGTGGGTTTTCGAGAGTGCGCAGTGCGCGCGAGCGTTCGTAGCACGAGGCTGTCCTCGGGGACTTGGGGGGGCCGTATTCATGCACTCGGCTGGGCGCGCGCGCGCGTCCTTTTTGTGGGCCGCCTGCTGTCGGGCCGCCCAGACGGGTCAGGGGGGACAGGTTCAAGGAGGGATGCATTGACCCCACTCGCCCATTCCTCGCCGATATATCAGGCGATCGCAAACATGGATCACGGGGGCGTGGATTAGCGACGGTTCCCGTTTCCATCGGAAATCGCGGATTTCAGCCGCCGAGCGAGGCGGCACCGGCCGCATTTTGGGGAGGGCACATCCCCCGATCCATGGATTTGGCGACCGCGCGCCAAATCCGTGGATCGCTAATCCATGTTTGCGCGCCCCCGAGATTAGGGGCCCGATAGCCCACCCCGCCCAGCTCGACGTTCTTCCCCCCGATGAGCTGGCCCCCTCCCATCGTTGCCCCCAGAGACGGGGCCCGAGTCGGCGCAGGCCTCTGGCGCCAGTACAATGTCGAGACGGCAGCTCTGCCAACGCCTGCAGGGTATGTTTTTTTGGGGGGGGGAGGGGGCGCCGAGGACCAAAAGCAACGACGTGGGGAGGAACAGGAAGGGGCCCTCGGGGAGGGGGGGGGGGCGCAGAGGACCAAAAAGTAACGACGTGGGAGGACCAGGAAGGGGTCCTCGGGATGGGGCCGTGGGGTCCAGGGCACCGTACCACGGAAGAAGCGTTTCTTTTCTTCTTTTTCAGACTGTTCTTCAGCTTCTTACCCTGATGCACGCTCTCGTAGCAAGAGGAAGCAGAGGTCGCAGGAGGCATGAATCTCACTCTTGCCCCCTCCGTTCTCTTTGCCCCAGTCCGCTTTTCCTCCATCGCCCGTCTTTCTGTTTCCGCTCGCCTGCTTCGAAAAGCTCGTCGAGCCCAGCGAACGCGTCAGTGTTCCAGTGCGCGCGCTGAGCAGTGCACCGGCTGGGAAGACGAGGAGAAGGAAAACGAGGATGTCGAGAGGCGAGCATGTCTTACCACGCTCAGGAGCAGACAGACAGGCGGCGCAGCTTGCAAACGAGGGGGAGTACTTCCTCTCGCTCGTCACCGGGAAACGCCCGTGGGTGGCCTGGCCCGAGCCCAGGCGAGGAACGACGGCCTCGGCGCCAGACCCTCCGCCTCGTGAGGCTCAGGGCTGATCGTCCGTGTGCGGTGGCCGATGGTGCACGACAGCCCATATCGTATCTTCCGGATCCGCGAGAACGGACTCTGCAGGGATCGGGGGTGGACATAGCCCCGCACCCTGACACGTCGATTAGTGAGTTGTCCGTTGTCGGCTCGAGAGAGGGCGCCGCGGCCGTCGTTTTCCAGGCTTGCCCCCTGCTCTCCGCTCGTTCATCTCGTCCCCATTCTCCCTCCGCACTCCTCCCCCTCCACGGGGAAGAGGATACTACCTGGACGCCGGCGGCTACCACCCGCCTGAGGATCTCCTGAGGGCCGAGTTTGTCTCCGCCGACCAGCGGAGCTGCCAGGGGAGTGCGGCTGTCAGCAACGCGCAGGGCAAGCGAATACCTTGGGAAAGCAACTCTGGCGCGCGGTCCGTCTCTCCGTGCCTGTCCATCTCAATGCTCGCGCGGGGTGCCGCGCGATTCGAGTTTGTCGCCGTTGGCCGCGGCTGAGTCAACATTGAGATCGGGGGTACGGGGGTGGGGGGGGCCAAGAAATAGAAAAAGGGCTTGCATTACTTTTCCAGGGGGGTTTGGGTCACCCGCAGGGTTGCGAAAGATGATCGAGCATCGGGCTTCGCGGTTCTGGCCACAGAGCTGCCCTTTCTCAGGGTGGCCAGGCGAACAAGAACGCGATTGTGGTCGGCAGCAGTCAAGGCCAGCGGGACATGCAACACTCCGCGAAACTCAACGCAAGTTTTGCCGACCCCACCTCGCCACTAGTTCTTGACGCTGGAGTATCCCCACCAGCCCATTCAGAAACTGTCGCCAGGTGAGTTGCTCGAAGCAGGGCAGTGCTAAAGCACGCAGTGGAAAGGGCCGCCGTGGAAGCGTATCAGGGCGCAGAAACAGTGGGAACATCTGTTGAATCATATAACGCATGTTCCCCTGCTGCGCAGTTTTTAACAGGGGTCTCCTGGGGGCGTTCTTGCATTGCTTTTGATACCTTCTCGGGGCGGGTAGCTATCTTTAACAGCAGGAGGAGGTGGAACAAATATGGGAGGAGGAGGAGGAGGAGGAGGAGGGTAATGAGGAGGAGGATGAGGAGGCACAGACACATAATACTGAGACCCAGGCATGCTGATACGATAAAGTCGTGTCTGAACCCGCATCGAAGATCGAGAACATTTGTTGAGTCATTCAACAGGTGTTCCCATGCGTTGGCGGCTATGTGGTGCCGCGTTGGCATTTCGTTGATGTTATCCGTTCCAACAGGGCATGCTCTCGGATCTTCGGTTGCGGGCAGCCCGTGGGGCCTTCTGACGCATTCATGTTGGGAGTAGAAAGCGGAGACACAGAGCAAGCGGAGAAAGATGAGGAGGAGGAGCAGGAGCAGGAGGAGGAGGAGGAGGAGGAGGAGGAGAGGAGGAGGAGGAGGGAGGAGGAGGAGGAGGAGGAGGACAATGTTATGATGGAGCTGGAGGAGCCTGATGAGCAGGCGGAGGGTGAGAGAGGGGGAGGAGGCGGAGGAGGAGGAGGAGGAGGAGGAGGAGGAGGAGAATGAAGATGAGGAGGAGTAGGAGGCGGAAAATGAATAAGGAGGCGTGCGGAGGCTCCATACCTAGCAGAAAGAGGGAGTCAGTTCTTGAGGTTTGGGAGCCATATTGGCTTCTTGGGGAGGTCCTTAGAGGACTCGAGAGGGCACTTGAACCGGTCTCCTGGCCGTCTTGAGGCCTCTTGGAGGCATGGACTTTCTGAGGCCGCCTGGAGCTATTTTGGGCCATCTTGGACGTTCCAGTGGGTCGCGGCCCACCAATTCTAGGCCCAGGGGAGGGGATAGGCAGGGGAAGGCGGGAGCTTTGGCAGAGAGAAGACAAAGCTCCTTAAACCACCCACGTCCAGAGGGCTGGTGGGATTTCAACGTTCAGTTGCGCGCGCGGCAAGGTCCGCGGACGCCGACGACAATTTTGAAGTCATGTGTTGCGGCATCAACATTGGAATTAGGGGGCCTGGGGACGTCGACGCCACGCGGGAAAAACTTGCGTGAATTTTCGCGGAGGGATAACCATGTGGTCAGAGAACCGCGCCGTTGTGATGCGGCCTCGCTTGGGTTGATCTCGCCAGTAAGCGCTTCGCGAAAGGCCGCCGTCCGCCAGCTGGGTACTGAAACTGATTTGTTGGAGCCTGTGGGCCTCGTGGTCGGGGCCCGCCCAGTGCGCTGGCGCCCTCCCTTGGTCGCCTTACCGCGGTGCCGTCACAGCGGCGCTGCTCCAGAGGGCCGCTGGACCTGCAGTTTCTTTGAACACATTTTCGGTTGCTAAGTAGTTGCCGTATGTCTGCTAATTCGTAGCCATGTCTATTTTATTTGGTTGCCAGTCGTTTCCGATTCAAAGCATAGCAATCGTCTTTCTTGGTTTTAACCAGGAAGCGGTTGGCAATTGGAGAGAACAAACATGGCATTTCATTCGCATCCGTGTATGTGTGTGTGTGTGTGTGTGTCTGTGTATATCCCTGGGGGGCAGGCCCGGGGCCCACAAACAGCTGCCCGACCCCCCATGGGAGGACGGGGCGGCCGGGGAGGTCCAAAATAGTCCAGGGGGGCCTCCAGAGGGTCCCCAGCCGGCCCAAGCGGGCCCCGAGTCGCCGCAAGACCGCTCCTGGACGCCCAAGATAGGCCCAAGACGGCCCGAGAGGCCCCATCAAGGCACCCCACGACGCTTCAAGACGCCTCTCCAGAGCGCTTCGAGTGGCCGAAATCGTAAATTGTATGAAGGTTTTGGAGAGGTTTTGGCCTTCAGCCTTTTCGGCTGTCCGACGTTCCAAGACGGCCCAATAGACCCCCAAGAGCGCCCCAAGACGGCCCAAGAGGGCCCCCAGACGGCCCCAGAGGCGCCCAAGACAGCTCAAGAGAGCCCCAAGACGGCCCCAAGATGCGCCCAAGAGGGGGACCACGACTCCAAAATTCGACCTTCCCGCTTGAAGAGTGCCTGAGGAGGTTCCAAGGTGCCCCCAAGATGCCCCAGGAGGCCCCCGAGAGGCACGCAGGAGGCCCAAACGAGGCCTCAAGAGGCCACAAAACAGCCCCGAGGAGGCCCCACAACGGTCCCAAAACGGCTGCCGAGAAGCTGCGAAATTGCCTTCACGACGTCCCCGACAGGCCAACCACGAGATCCAGACCAACACCCATGAGGCCTCTGACCCACCACCTAGGGCACCCGCCGCCCGCCCGCCGTCCGCGTAGCACGCACCATTATGTACTCAACAGCTTCAGTCTCCAAGACAACACCCTGTAGTCAACAGCCCCCGTCTTCAAGGCAACACCCTGTACTCAACAAGCTCCCGCTGCAAGAGAGCACCCTTAAGGAATTCATTCAAATCCCGACCCGCCCGCCCGCCCGCCCGCCATCCGCCCGCCCGCCGCCCGCCCGGCCGCTCGCCCGCCTTCCGCGTAGCACGCGCCACCAGGCACTCAACAGCCTCCGCCTCCAAGACGAGACCTAGCATTCAACAGCCCCCAGGGCTCCCGGGACTGCGCGGGCCCGCTCCCAAACACGCCACGACACGCCAAGAGGGCCCTAAAGATTGCCAAGACAGCCCCAAGAGGCCCCGGACACGCCGAAGATGGCCTCAGGACGGCCGACGGCGCCGCCAAAACGCCCCAAGAGCGCCTCCAGAGGCCCCTCCAAAGGGCCCCGCATTTTTACGCTCTCGCATGTTCCGCCTCCCCACGGTCCCCGACGGCGGCAGAGGCCCTTCAGATCGCTCCAAGACGGCCGAAGAGGCTCCCAAGAAAGACCAGCGGTCTCAGGAGGCTCCCCAGATAATTCAAGAGGACCTCGAGAGCGCCCCAAGAGAGCCCCAAGAGCGACCCAAGAGGGCCCGAAGAGCGCGACATTTCAAGGTTTTCGGCCTGAGAGGCTCCTGGGACTCCCCCGGAGGCCATCAAGAGGCTCCCAAGAAGCCCCGTGAGGCTCCCAAGAGGCCCCCGGAAGCCCCAATAAGCCCCAAAGGGGCCCCCAGGGAAGTCCCCTGCGGGCCCCCAAGAGACCTCGGTAAATCGTATTTCCCAAGGAGCTTTCCGGGGACATGATCCCTTGGGCTTCGGCCCACCGCCCCAACCATGTTTCCAATAGGCTTGCCGACAAGGCCAAAAAGGGCCCCTCGTTAAGCCCCCAGAGGCCCCCCGCTTGAGGGAGCCGGACAAATCATGATCCCGGAAAGCTTCCTGAGAACATGATTCTCGGGTTGCCGCCCTCTCCCCAAACCATGTTCCCTAAACGCTTGCCAGGATTAAGAAAACGAGAGTCCCAAGCAGCGCTACCTGCCGCCACGCTCGAAAATGCGTCAGGCCCCGAAGCCTCCGGAGACGCCCAACGACACCCCAACAAATCATGCTCCCAGGGAGTCTTACGGCCAGTGCCGCCGACGTTGAAGGAGGACGGTCCAGGACACCCAGAAATCTTCCAAACAGGCTTCCAAGAGGGCGCCGAGACAGCCCAGGGCCGCCCCCAGACGGCCCAGGAAGCCCCAACACAGACGAAAAGGGTCGCAATAGGCCCCCAAGAGGCCCTGGAACGAGGACATCTCGTTCGAACACGCCCAAGATGGCCTCAGGACGGCCCACGAGGCTTCCAACACGGCCTAAAGGGATGCCAAAATCATTGATTGTCTTTAGGTTTTTGATGGATTTCAGACACCCAATGTCGCCCCAACAGGCCCCTACGAGGGCGCCGAGACGGCCCACCTACCCCCCTGCCGCGGGCACGAGGCGGGGCACGGGACGGGGCCCTCGCACCGGGGGGCCCGGGGGCCCTGCCGTGGCGCTGGGGGCCGTGTAAAGTCGCCCGAAGACGGCCCTGCATTGCCAGAAATGGCGTTTCCAGACAACGAAAACGACCAATGACCGCTCGAGATCACCCCAGAATTGGTCCCTGACTGTCCAAGAGGCCTCCAAGACGCCCCAAGAGATCTCCAAGATGGCTCCCAAGGAGCCCCAGGAGGCACAACTAATTTGTTTTCCTATGGTTTTTGATAGGTTTTCGAGTTCTCGCCTTTTGTGTTTACTGACGCTCCACGACGGCCCAAGAGGCTTCAATTTCCGCTCCAAGGCATCCCCAGAGGCCTCGAAGACGGTCACAAGACAGCCCATGGGGGTCCCAAGACGGCGCCAGAGGCGCCCAAGGCGGCCCGAGAGGGCCCCAAGACGGCCCAAGATGGAGCCAAGAGGGTTGACACGAACCGAAAATCCGAGTCTTCCACCCCGAGAGGCTCTCAGGAGGCCCCGAGAAGCCCCTAACAGGCTCCAAGATGCCCCAAGAAGCCCCACAGGGGGCCGAAGAGTATCCAAGAGGCCTCCCACGAAGGCCCCAAGAGGCAAAAATCCATGTCTTGCCATAGCTTTTTGATTGATGTTAGAGTTTTCAGCCTTTTGGCGTCCTGACGCTCCAAGACTGCCCAAAGGGCCTCCAAGACCAATCCAAGATAGCCCAAGAGGCCTCCAACAGGGCCCAAGACAGCCCGAGAGGCACCAATACGGCCCCAAGGGGGGCCCAAGAGGCGTAAGACGAACCGAACATCCGAGCCTTCTACCCCGAGAGGCTCTCAGGAAGCCCCAGAGGCCCCCAAATGGGACCCAAGAGGCCCTCAAGAAGCTCTCCAGAAGGACGAAGAGGTTCCAAGAAGCATTGTTTTCCCATAGGCTTTTGATGGATTTTAGGGTTCCCAGCCTTTTGGCATCCCGACGCTCCAAGACGGCCCAAGTGGCCCCCAAGACCGCTCCAAGATAGCCGAAGAGGCCTCCAAGAGGGCCCCAAGACTGCCCACGAGGGCCCCAAGACGGTGCCCGAGGCGCCCAAGACGGCCCGAGAGGGCCTCAAGAGGGCCCCAAGAGAGCCCCAAGAAGGGGAAGGCGAACCCAACAGCAGAGCTTTCCGCCCTAAGAGGCCCACAGGAGGCCCCAAGAGTCCCCAAGTGGTCCGACGAGGCCCCCCAAAGCCCCCCCCACCAGGCCCCAAAAGGCTCACAGGAGACGTACACTTGGCCCCAAGATAGCCGAACAGTGCTCTCGATGCATCAAAATTGCTTCAATGAGGCCCCGAGACGCTTCCGGATTGCCCCAATGTGGCCTCAAGCCGGGCCTCACGCAGCCAAGACGGCCAATTGACTGCTTCGGACTGCAGAACATCACTTTCCGACTGCCCGGAGAACCCTAACGATGCCCCCAAGGGACCCCAAGAAGCCCCAAGATGCCCCCCCCGAAAAGCACCCAAGAGGTGCCTCCAACAGCCAAGTGAGGAAGCACGGAGAACCCCCCAGAAGCCCTTCAGATGCCCCCACGAAGACCCAAGAGGTTCCCAAGAGGCCCTCAGGAGGCACGACTATGTCACGCGCCTGTGCTTGATAGCGCTGTCCAAGATCCTCCACCGCGCCCCCGGCCTGGGCTAGAACCTGAGCGCGCGCGAAGCGCGCGATGGTTCTAGTATATATATATATATATATTTATAGAAATATACACATGGCAGCTGATCAGCAGCTGGAAAAAAAGGCCAGCGTGACAGGTTTCTCCAGGTCAAGTGCTTGCACGCCGCGCTCTCCTCCAGGCATCGGACGTGCCGCGGAAAGGGGTCCCGGCGGGCCGCGGCGGGCCAGTCGCGACTTGCCCAGGACGGGCCGCCCAGTGCATGCCCGCCTGCGCCTTTGGGACCTGGCGCGCCTGGCGTACCTGGTGCTCTGCGCATCTGGCTGACCTCCTCAGTCCACGGACGTCCATTCGCAGCCCGGGTGGGCCTAGCGCAGCCCTGTCCTGTCAACCTCGGACCAGCTCATTCCAGCTCCGAAGAATCGTTGCGCAGACCAGGGGCCGACAGACCCCCCTTGATGGCCCGAACCCCGTGGACTCGTGGTCGGCGTGCATGTGCCCGCCCAGTGCTCGTCGCCATCGTCGCCGCCGTCGACGTCGGCGTCGTCGTGGTCGTTGTCGCCGCCGTCATGGGACCTTTGGGGCAGGCACCGTGAAGCGCAGCAATCAGGGCCACCTGTAGGCGGCCACGAGAAAGTCGCAACGGCTAGGGGCAGCGGGAGCTGGGAACCCACACGCGGGCGGCCACCACAGCGCCACAACAGGCAGGCCAAGCGGGACTTGGGAACACTCCTTTGCCGCAACATTTGATGCGCATGGGTGGTTGCGTATTGTACCGCACGACATGGTGCCAATGACAGCGCCTTGGATAGGTGCGCAAACACTTGCGTGCAGGGAGGTTGTGCCAATTAAGACTTTGGCGAAGGCTTCCGTCCTTGGGGTCCGAGTCGGTGGGGTCGGAGGATCGCGCCGCATCACCGATGCATTGGCGATGCGGCTCGATGTGGAGCCCCAGTTCTGAACGCCGACGGCGTTGATGCATCGCCGACGTCGCCGTTGCATCGCTTGTGCATTGGCGACGCCTCGGCGATGCGGCGCGATCCTCCGACCCCATCTACAATCAACCCGCGTAGTAAGGATGGGCAATCTTCCCAAGGGTACCCTTGCATCCTTGCCTCTTCGGTCCATCCTTCGCCGCTCTCGCTGAAATGGGCGTCCAAGGCCCTTGCATCCTTATCGCGCCTCCTTACTATACTGGTTGACTCTAATCCAGCCCCATCTGGGATGCCTCTATGAGTTGGCCGGCGCTGGAGTTAAGTCGGGCCTGTCCCTTCAGGGGGAATATCCAAAAATAGTAAGACATAGTCTGGGGGCTATTTTTTGAGTATTTTTTTCCGTCCAACATCCCCCTGTAGGGGGACAGGCCCGACCTAACCCTAGGTCGTGGTCGGAGAACCTGTTCGTGGCCGAGGCTCATTGGCCAGAAAAGCTTCTCCGTTCTCTGTGCAGCGTTCCTGATAGTGGCACGATGATTGTAGGGCGAGGGCGAGTGGGCGACAGGGCCACAGCGGGGACAGTCTTCGCGCAAGCCCTCAGGGAATAGCCAGCGCCAAGGCGAGAGCATTGTTCCGAACCGGGGAATCCGACCAGCACTCTCTGCCCAGGTGGTCAAGGGATCTTGATTTTCCGATCCCCTTCTTCCCCTTCGGGGAGCGGTGTACCCTTCCCCATTACCCCTTCCTCTGGACTCGGACGGGGGTGATCGCGGATAATTGGAGCCTCTAAAATTGCCGAAGACGTCTCCAAGAGGGCCTCAGTGCACGATGGCCTCCAAGGTGGCTCCAAATAGCGCAAGATCACTCAAGATGGCTTCCAAGATGCTCCAAGAAGCCCCGAGACCGCCTCAAGACGACTGCACGTGCCCAACTAGCTCCCCAAGGAGGCCAAGGAACCCCCCCAAGAGACCAGCATCCTTCGAACACCTAAGGATACTTGTTTTTTTTTTGCTTCCGATGGCCATCCGAGGCCTCAATCTGGTTCCAATATGTCCCAAGAGGGGCTCAAGAGAGACCCAAAACGGCCCAAAGAGCGCCCAAGAGCGCTCCAAGAGCGCCCCAAGAACTCCCCAATAGGCGATTTCAGGCTCTTCAGAAAAGGGCAGGGCTATTTCTAACTCTCCTATTTGTGTATCGATGTCTTCCAAGATGGTTCCCAGAACGCCCCTGTAGCTCCCAAGTGCGCCCCAAGAGGGCCGCAAGAGCCGCCCAGGCGGCTCCAAGAGGCGCCCACAAGGGCTTCCAAGAGGCCCCCAAGAGACCCCCAAGAGGCTTCAAGATGATCCCCGAGGCTCTCAAGACGCTCGAACACGGTTCTGGGCCCGCCAAGATGCCTCCCAACACGCCCCAATAAGCCTCCAAAAATCATCCAAGCGACATCCGACGGGACTCTGAAAGGCATTGAAGAGGCTTCTGGCTCTTCTGTTCGCTCTTCTCCTCCTCCTCCTCCTCCTCCTCCTCCTCCTCCTCCTCCTCCCCCGCCTCCTCCTCCTCCTCCTCTTCCTCGCCATCCTCCTCCTCCCCCTCCTTCCCCTCCTCCTCCTCCTTCTCCTCCTCCTCCGCCTCCTCGTCATCATCATCTGCTTCATCCTCCTCCCTCCTGCCTCCTCCCCCCCCACACCTCCTCCTCCTCATTCTTCTCCACGTTCTCCTCCTTCCTCCTCGCCCTCCTCCTCCTCCTCCTCCTCCTTCGCCTCCTCCTCCTCCTCCTCCTCCTCCTCCTCCTCCTCCTCCCCCTTTTCCTCCTTCTTCCCCCTCTTGGGGTGCGACGGTTTCTCCCTCCCTGTGTTCCTCTGTACGTCCTTGATCATGGCAACTTGTCTGGGCATCGTCTCTGGATGGGCTGCCCTTCTCCTTCTCCTTGTCCTCGTCCGCCTATTCCACTGCATGCTCCCCCTCATCCCTGATCAACCCAATTCGCACGGGCGTTGTGCCTGGATGGGCTGGTGGGGTTACGCGAAGCGTCTAGAGGCTGTCAGCTGTGATCAAGCCAGGTTTATTTCCTCGGGTTGTTTATCGCCCTCACCCCCAAGCTATTTGTCGGCTTGCTGGAATCGTTACCAGTCCATGTCATCGGCCTGCGACGAGGGTGCGTTGTCGGGCTACCCCCATCA